AAAATCTGCCTCTTCTCAGAATATACTCAGTAAAATTATTCACTTTACATGAAGTTTATCTCACCAAAAAAGTTCTTTTGCTCATGCACTAAAAACAATTCCTCACAGGTGTCTCCATTTTACTGTTACTGGGGCTCAATCCCTTTGGTCCTGTTAATATAATCAAATATTCACTCTTTCCTTCAGTCCTCACATCTAAGTCTTGACCAATTCTCCAGTTATACCTTTAAGAAATTTCTCCAGCGGTGCACCTGGATGGCTCCATAGGTTAAGCATCTGCCTTCAGCGCAGGTCATGATCCCAGGGTCCTGGGATAGAGTCCTGCCTCAGGCTCCCTGCTCTGTGGGGAAGCCTGCTTCTCCCTCTGCCTGTCCCTCTCGCTCTCTCTCCCTAATAAAGAAAATCTTTTTTCTTTTCCATAAAAATGAAATTTCTTGGGTTTCCCTTCGCACCATGCCTCCAACCCTAGTCATTTCATGCTTACAGACCCAAGCAGCCCACAAGATGGCTGGGTTAACTCTGGTTCTACCATTACTCCTCCCAGGGCTATCTTTCACACAATTATTAAATCTGTTGTTGCTTCAGTCATACAACTCCCATTTACAACAGCAGAGTAGCTCCCTGATAATTACGCACTGTATTCTCTACCCCATTGATTGTACTCCATTTCCAGTATGGAAAGATACTAATTTTTTCCTGCCAGCCATATAGTTCTTCATCACTGGTTAATTTGCTCAGAGAAACTAATTAAAACTGACCTGAGCAAAACAAATATAAATCAAATAGTCCATACATTTAAAAACAAAGTACAATTTGTACTGTTAGTCATTATTATTAGAACAGAAAGTAAGTACAAACTATCTGTTGTTAGACATGAATTACTAGATCTTTACTTTTTGGATACTTTTTGACTGGTCTTCCCCATCACTGATTCATTAAATACCTTGTTGGCAGGGTCTGGGCTTATTCTATCACTTACTCTTTGCTACTCCTCTATGCCCTCAGTAGCATAGTATCTAACAGTAGCAGAGTTTCCTGTTCTGAACTTGGTGTTCACAGGGGATACAGACTATCAAAGTATAAGCAGAAATTTGAATGGGTAACAATGGCAGATGTCAAAAATTAAAGACTTTGATCTCTGCCTATTTCAAAACTGCCATAAGCTTTTGACTAAAGTGAAAATGTTATTCACATAAAAATTCTGTAAGGTATGTGTTTAGTTTTCAGAAAAACAAAAAACCCTGGACTTTGGCCCAAATGCTGAATCTGGGTAATTATTTATGTCATTGTATCAAGAAAATCAGATTAAACTAGGTTCATAGTAAGAGAGAAACTCTTTCCGTACCCTTTCAGACAAATCAGAAATTACTGGCCTCCTTTAGATAATCTTTAAACAGGTTAAAAATGTTTTCCTAAAATCATTAAATGGTCCCAAATGGAAAGCTGTGAGACAGTTTAATAGACTATTACCAATTGAGCTTTTCTCGTTTGCTGAGTCTTTTATTCCCCCAATAGAATGTGTGTTCCATGCAGGCAGAACATCCCTGCTAGATCTGTAGCACAGGAACAATGCCAGGAACATGGTAGACGTGCAGGACAATACATTTTTTGATTCTTGGATACAAAAGTCAGGCAGGTGTCTCTAATTTTGGATAAAATCTTTAATTCTTAAGCTCAGTAATCTATAGGCTACAAACAAGGATGTTTTAAGGAAGCAAGTTCAAAGTATGTGTGACATTGTGGAATACTTTTTATCTGCATTTAGAAAACAGAACTTTTAAGCAGTATTTTACTCTAACTTTCAAAGGTAAATTGTCAAGCCTACAAACTTAGCTGCTCCACTAATAGGCTTATTAGCCAATTTTGACAAGTATTATCAATACCCCAACAAAGACTTATGCATTTTTCTATCAAGTTATGGGGAACCAGGTTTCGTTCTACTCAGAATCATTACACTTCTCTCATGTATTCATAAAACACCAGATAAACTGTGCACTGTTAACAAATTATAGAACAGATTAAAACAAAAATTTGAGGGTGCCTGGGGGGCTCAGTCAGTTAAGTGTCTACCTTTGGCTCAGATCATGATCCCAGAGTCCCTGGATCAAGTTCTGCACGGGGCTCTCTGTTCAGCAGGGAGTCTGCTTCTCTCTCCCTCTCAATTAATAAAAAAATCTTTAAAAATTAATAAAAAATCTTAAATCTTAATTTTTATTTTAAAAATTAAATCTTAAAATCTTAAAACCTTCAATCTTAAAATCTTAAAAAAGAAAAAAATTTGAGTCTTACTGAGGTGGCTTAGTCAGTTGAGCTTCTGCCTTTGGCTCAGGTCATGATCCTGGAGTTCTGCGATCAAGCCCCATGCCCTTGGGTTCCCTGTTCAGTGGGGAGTCTGCTTCTCCCTCTGCCTCTTACCTAACCACTAGTGTTTTCGCTCTCAAATAAGTAAAATCTTAAAAAAAAAAATCTTTGAGTCCTATAAAATCACAAATTGTTAAGATTCACCAATAGTTTAGATGAAGCCTGAAAACACTCAGATTTTTTTAAAATAAAGTCATTCTATATTTCCAAGATTTAAAGGGGAGGAGATAGAGTAGATGGAGATTAAATTCAAAGAAGACACAGGCTGAAATAAACCAAAAGAAAAAACACTGTGGTGGTAAGTTTTGATTCTAAGTTTGTTGCCCCACATCTAAAGAGGAGATGATTAAAAAAGCAAAGCAAAATTTACTTCCATTAATTGGAGGTTTTAAAACTTTATATCCTAGGGGCACCTGGGTGGCTCAGTGGGTTAAGCTTCTGCCTTCGGCTCAGGTCATGATCTCAGGGTCCTGGGATCGAGCCCCGCATCGGGCTCTCTGCTCAGCGGTGAGCCTGCTTCCCTCCCTCTCTGCCTGCCTCTCTGCCTACTTGTGATCTCACTCTGTCAAAAAAAAAAAACACCAAAACCAAAAACAAACTAATTAACTCTAAAAAAAAAAAACTCTATATCCTAATATCTGCATGTGATAAAGTTTATATATGTAAGAAAAACGCAGCTGCATTAACATAAAAGTCAAAGCAGGGGTTTTTACTTTTTTTTTTTTAAAGAAAAAATTAGGTGAAATGTCACTAATTTCCTCCTAAAATTCAAGTTTCTCCAAGTATCTGTGGGGACATGAAAAAGAACTCATATGACTTTTTTGACTGAATTATAGTATTTTTCCAATGTAAGCACCAGAAAAGTCGATCTACATGATCTGCATTCCTAAGCTGTAGCTACTATTTTGTATGAGACAATGATGCTTTTTGCCAAACCACAATCCTATTTCTAGTAGCAAAATAGAAAATAAAAAAAATGATGAAGAGAGTGTCACTTGCATTTACTTCACTCTCTAACTCTTCATGAAGTCAGTATTACTATCATTACCATTTTACAGATAAAGGAACAGAGGCACCTAAGTAGTGTTACATGCTAGGAAATAGCAGAGCTGAGATTAGAAACCCAAGAATTCTGGTTCCAGGGAAGCCCAGTTTTATTCACTAAACTGTCCATTTTGTTCTACTAAAACTAATCTATAACTAATGAGTTGCTTACCACCAGGTCAGTCAGTGGTTTTCAGTCAGGTGATTTTTGCCCTTCCAACTGGAAGAACTAACTGGAGAACACTTGGCAATGTCTGGAGACAATTTCAGTGGTTGCAACTTGGGGGCAGGGGTGGTACTACTGGCATCTAAAGGGTAGATACCAGATATGCTGCTAAAAATCCTATAATGCACATGACCACTCCCCAACTCATTATCCAGCATAAAACACCATACTGCTGAGGCTGAGAAACCCTATAATAGAATATAAATTCTAGGGCGGGGTCCTAAATTGATCTCAGTTATTGCTCTACACTCAGACCTAGAACACTTATATTTATCTGAATATTTGTTTTCGAGAACCTAGAACTCAGGGATGACTGGGTGGCTCAGTTGGTTAAGCGTCCAACTCTTGATTTCAGGTCAGATCATGATCTCAGGGTTGTGGGAACAAGCCTTGCGTCAGGCTCCCTGCTCGAAGCAGGGTCTGCTTGAGGATTCTCTCTCCCTCTCCCTCACCCTAAAATAAAAAAAATCTTAAAAAAAAAAAAAAGAAGAGCCTAGACTTTAGCCTGGTGCACAGCTGGTAGACAACAAACATTTATTAAAAATAACTGAATTAATGGTGGTACCTACAAAGGTCAAATGGGTGTAACCAGATATAGTAAACTGAAGTGATTTTGTGCTCTATAATGCCACATTTGGGGGGTTTTTCTCTTAATGGCTATAAATAAAACCAGTTCTGCCAAGACAAGTCTCTTAATTAAGCGGGCCTTCTGAGAGAATATTTTTTTTCTTTAGATACATAAAACCTTTAAATACATGGACCTCCTTGAGTTAAATTTGTAAGGAATAATACCTTTTTCTTCCTAAAATGAAAGCCTTTAAATGTTCCATTCAAATAGGATGTAACTTTAAGAGATTAACAGACACCCCTAAATCAGATGATATCACTAGTTGATTGTGGATATGCTTTAGTGACTGGCAAATACTTTGAGAAAGATTAAGATTTGTTTAAAATTTCAAAAAGAATTGAATTATAGCACACCTAAGGAAAAGACAGATCATCTATAAAGAAATTAGTTCTTGAGTCCACTTCAAAGATCTTTATAACCATAACATTCTAAGTATAACTTCATCTTATATATTTTTAAAAATCCATTAAGCATAACATCTATCAAAGTATTTTCAATTCTTTCTCCTACACCTCAAAGAGCTACTGAACATTACCCAAAAAGCATATATTCGTCAGTAATGCTGCTTGATTTACAAAATTCTTCCCCCCACTCCAAAATTCAAAAGATGGGTATGTGGATATTCAAATAATACTGGGGGAAAAATCTGATATCTTTCATTATTTCTGTAATCAATGAATCAACCTGGCTTGCCCAAATGTTAAATTATGAAACCACACTATGTAAAATGCACCTATTACATTTAAAAAGAAGTTAAACCCAAATTTATTTGCTAGCACTGTTAAACATTACACAAAACATTCAAGTGGCAAGTAATTATAATGCAAGCCCTTGCATGGCAATCCAAATTTATTGAACTACTGATGCTAAGTTATACAAAATTGCACCACTTTAATTAAGGCTTTTAGTTTACATTTGGCCACCTCAAAGTAGTTGTAACATTAGGTTGGTCAATTTAAATACTGTGGCTCCCTGTTGGATAGACACACAATCTTTACACCCAAACGGTTAATGCATACAAAGCAACAAGGCATTGTTAAATAAAACAGCAATAGTTACTGCAACTTAGGCCTTGTGACCAATTACACATGATTAAAATTACTTCCCACATTCACATCCACAGTACTCGTCCACCATTTAACATCTCAACCAAAACGTTACACATGTGAAACAACCACTAACAGGCAAAAATACTAAACCTGTATATTTGGTATTGCAAATACACTTATGCATGAGCAAGCAAGGGATTCACAGTGAGAATCTACAGCTGCAGAAGCCTGAAAATGATTTACAAAAATTGTTAAATCATTAAAAAATTGTTTGAAAATATACACTTCTTGTTGTAGACCCCCACTGTACACACAACTATAAACATTGTTCCCTATGTAAACAAAAAAGGAAACATATAATAAAAGATTTGAAAAGTCTGGACATTTCCTTCCCAACAGATATTAAAGGCAATGTCTTTAATCTAAGACATTATACTGAAAGGACTATCATATTTTAAAGACAAGATCACTGTCTCCACAGGTTTTTTTTAAAAATTAAAAAAAACTATATAGCTGTGTTAATCAAAGCGCTTATTTGTACAATACAATGATAATGACCTTGAATTTCTTAAAAAAAATTACAATAAGCTACAAGTATCAAAGAAGCGAAGTTATCTGGAGTAGTCTATATAGGAGCTCTTTGGACTTTCTTTTATTATGCTAAAATAGTGGTGCTTTTAGGATTTACATTATTGTACTCTCCAATACAAAGTATGGGGCATGTTAAAGTATACAGTACACCATTTTCATACATGTACAACATTGGTGGATGAAAAATGTCTCTTAGCAGTAATACTGGATTGTAGCCTCTGGTTTTACCAGCTGCATACTCTAGGACTATTATATAAGTAAAAATCTCTCTTGTGATACTGGAAAGTGATCAGAATGTGCAAACTGATGTAGTAGCTTTCATCCGCCTCTTAAAGGGTACCACCACAGAAAGTCCATTTAAGATGTTGGTAGGTTTAACAAAGTTGGAATGCTGGCACTGTTGAATTGGGCAACAGTTCTTCAGACCTGTTGAAAGGAGAAAATTAAATTGAAAACATGGGTTGAAAATAGCACACTACAGATCCATAGGTACACATTAAAGCAACAGTGTTTTATGTGTTAGAAATGAATATAATACAGGCTCTTGTCATTACATTCATGACAATGTATGACAATGCACCACACAACTCATAGCAAAGTAAAGCATAGGTAGACATTTTCATCTTTTCAGAATGACTTCATCTACTTTGCTGCCCTCTTGAAAGTCAGTCAAATTAAATTTTAGATCCAGAAAGGGAAGGCACCTTAGTGCAAATTTCTGTGTATTATCTTCCAAAGATTCAAAGCAGAAAAGACAAAAACCAAAAAAACACCACATTAATATTTTAGGTCAGATCAACTTTATTAGAATTAGGATTAAAAAAGATAGCAATATTAACAAAATGAGTGTTTCCAATCCTAGAATTACATTTTAAGTATAGAATGTACATCTAATCAGGGTTTCTAGTATCTGAAAACCAAGACCTTTCTTCCTTACTCTTCCAGAAAGAGTGGCTACAAAGCTGGTTCAGAGAAGTAGACAAAAAATAATTTATTTCATGATAGCTCTTTATAGTTGACAGTTATAAACGTTCTAATTTCATATTTAAACAAATTCTATCAACTTGATGGATGTTAGAAAAAGCTGATATTATACGAAAATCCTATGTAATTAAACTTCAAAAAATTGTGAGCAATATAAAAAAAGGTAAAATTAGAACTCACTGTCTGCCAAGTATTTATTTACTTTGGATGATTTTCTGCATACATTCCTGGGCTAAAGAAAGTTTTCTTTTTATTGTTTTTCTGGGATTTAGCCTTGTTGCAAGTTCCAGAAATAATGTTAATATTGATATGGCTGCTGAGGCAATTTTCATAAATGCCTTGAGCTTTAAGTCCTCAGTCTGAATGAGTTTGGTGAATTTTCTAAATCCCAGCAAACCAACTGTGGCAAATTAAATAGGACAGATTGGAGTATATGAGTTTACACACGTGTGCTGCTAGGAATGGGCATGTGGTAAGGATTGAGAGGATTATCAGGAATGAGAGCATGTATCTCTAAACAGAAAGCCTTAAATGGAGAGTAGGGACAAACTCTCGAAGATTCAAGTGTGCTACCGTAGAGGGCCATTTAACACAGGAAGAAGGAGAGCCACAAACACTACAAGCTCCCAGAATAAGGGTAGAGTAAAATATAGTTTTAATGCTAAAGGAGCAATAAGCCATTCTTGTTGGCAAAGAGCAGCAGCTAACAGCTGAAGGTTTACCAAGTACCAGGCACTGATCTGATTTACAAGTATTAAATCATTTAATATGACTGTTTTCAAAAACCATATAAAAATGTTGTATGTTCAGTTTTTCTTTGCTGTTTCATCTCTGAGTTGTTTCTGTGGTTTTCTAGGCCTGACAACTCTTCAGGTATCAGCTTAGATGTCTTTTACTTTGACATATTTTCCCTGAATCCGCAGTTTCCATCTAATTTGGGGTTCCAGTTATTCATGCTCCTGTAGTACCCATAAGAGCATAATGACTAAGCATGGGCTTGGGAGCCAGTTCATCACTCAAATTCTGAGCCATGCACTCAGATCATAGGATTTAAATTTTGGCTCCTATATTTACTAACTGCAGGGCTTGAACAAGTAGTAATCTTTTTGTGCTCTAGTTCTCTCATATGTAATATGGGAATAATAATAGTTCTTGCATCATAGGATTGTTGTATGAATTCAATGAATATGTGGACAATAGTTAAGAGTGCTAGCTAGCATATGATAACTGTGTCAGGGGTTCTTATTACCAGTACTGTGCTGGACTTAGTCTATCCCTCATTTATCGTATTTTTCAGTTGTTTGTCTAACTCTTCCACTAGACCTGAATAGCTTAAGGCAAGGCAAGAAGGTTGGTTTTGTTCATCACTGTACTGTCAGCACAAACCAGTGTCCCAATGGGGCTTAAGTATATATTGGATGAACTTACCTAGAATATTCACTTATGTGAAATACCCTACTTTTGATGCTGATATATATAGGAAATAATTACTTTAATTACTAGGATAGCATTCTAACTCATGGATACCTTAAAGAGAAGTAATCTCAGTTTTTTTGTTTGTTTTTTTTAAGAACAATAAAACATTTTATACTTGTTTTCTTGAAAGAGTGTCCTTAATGAAGCTGAGGTTAAAAGTTAGAGGAAAAGAATATAAAAATAGAGGAAAAGATAAATTAACATACCTGGCTCAGAGCTACAATGCATCTAATATATTAAAGCAGCTGACATGTTGACTTTTTGCGGGCCTTCCCAGGCACTGGAGTTTTTCTGTTAATTTGCCGCACTAGGTCATAAAAGATCTGCAAACAGAGTTGGGTTTTTTTTTTTTTTTTGGTTGTATTTTTAATTAGGAAAAAACCCCCAAAAAACAAAAAAATGGAAAAAATAAAATGAAAACCTGAATGCCATGTATATATATGAACTCCAACAAATATTCTGTTCAGCTAAGGAGTAAGTAAAACCGGGTAGTCATATAACTGCCAAATACTTTTATTTTTTGGGAGGGCTAAAATTTCTCTCCTTAAAATAAGAACTGAATTAAGGAGCAGCAGAGATCTTACTGTCGTTCATTAGAACATTTAACATCATTCAAAGAAAACAATCCTTTACTCTTCAAATCTTCCCTATGTTATCTTTACCCTACCACAGGAACTAAGCCCCTTCAAGGCAAGAACCATGCAGGACTTCTTAAATTTGTCTCCATCTTTTATAAAACATCCTTCATCTCTACATATATACACCTGAATACTTAATCCTGTCTTTCCCACCCCTAACCTTTTTCTGTCCAGTCTTCCTTTTTCTTTTTTTAAAGACTTTATTTACTTATTTGAGAGACAGATCATGAGCGGGTAAGAGGGGTAGAGGGAAAAGCAGACTCCCTGTTGAGCAGGGAGCCTGATGCGGGACTTGACGCCAGCACCCTGGGATAATGACCTGAGCCGAAGAGATGCCTAACTGACTGAGCCACCCAGGTGCCCCAGTCTTCTTTTTTCTCTGAGCAAATTCTAGCACTGTTGCTTATTAACATACATATATTAACATAAGATTTTTGTCTGTAAGATCAACAAAGCACCCGAAGCAAACATTAACCTAAGGCTGTGTTAATACACACACATTATTTTTCATTAATTTTAAATGCTGAATTTCAAATCGAGTTTTTAAAAGTGTATTTCACCATACCTCATTAACATTTATTTTTGATTTTGCAGAAGATTCTAAGAATGCACAGTTGTTCCACTGTCTTGCTAGGTTCTGACCTTGTTCCTTTCCTACAACTCTTTCATCTTCCAAGTCACACTTATTACCAACCAGGATCATTGGAACCTAAAAATACAAAAAAATTGTGAGGGTAAAAAAAAAGTAAGTATGCTATATAAATTCAAAACAGAAGAATTAAAAAAAAATTAACATATAATGTATTATTTGTTTCAAGGGTACAGATCTGTGATTCATCAGTCTTACACAATACATAGTGCCATCCACAACACATACCCTCCCTAATATCCATCACCCAGCCACCCCATCTGTCCCACCCCCTCCACTCCAGCAACCCTCAGTTTGTTTCCTGAGATTAAGAATCTCTTATGGCAAAACCAAAGAATTCTAAGAGTCAACCCTAAGAATTACTTTATATGCCAGAGAAAAATATTGAATAAGTAATAAAATTTATAGTTTAATATGAAAGCCTGTTAAGAATCCTTCATGTGAAATTTTTAGAAAACTAGCTATGATCTACTTTTAAGAAAGGAAAAAAAAACCCTTAAAATTATATCCCAATGGATTTATAACTAAATATAGTTAGCAAAACACAAAACCTTTTAAAAAATAAATTACAAGAGGGTATTACTATGAAAAGCCAATACATTTCAAAATTTTAAAAGTCTAAGGGATGTGAATCAACTTCAAGTTTTCTGGTTTACTGACATGCATTTATCAAATAATCATTCTCCATTTCATGACACAAAAAGGAGAAATTTGGAAAGCCCTGAAGTAGAATTTTTAGTTTCTCATATAATATATATTAAAAAGCCAGAAAGTAAAATCATCCTAAATTATTAAATATTTAGACCACCATAATCATTTGATGTCTATTTTACAAGGACACGATAGAGATAAATAATACTTATTCTGGAAAATTCCCATTAATCATTTAGAGGATGGCTTTCTAGAGAATTTTTGGAAAAAGATCCAAATTAGGAATATCAAGAATTTTGGTTTTTAGGAATAGACACAGAATTTTATATTCATACTTATTTAATGTAACTGATAGAAGAAGAAAACTAGTATCAGAGACAGTAGAAAATATTTACTAACTGAGAAATGGTCACTGAGCTATAAATATGTGAGAATACCCCAAAGTTCTCCTGTTTCAGAAGTCTAAGAAATGGCAACATTTCCCACAGATGCCTCTGAACCTCACAATATTTGCTTATAATTAAATTATATACGTAATACAGTGATTTTTAAAAAGTGTGGTTCCTGGTCCCCAGCAGCATCAACACCATCTGGAAACCTGTTAGAAATGTAAAATCTTGAGCAGTATTCTTGACCTACTCAATCAGAAACTCCGGGAGTGAGGCTTGGCTATCTGTTTTAACTAGATTTACAAGTGATTTTGATGCAGGATCAATTTTGAGAACCACTGCTATCTATAGTATGATAAGGAATTAAAGTAATCCTTCTGAAGTTTGATACAGGGTAAACTCCATTATGGTACACGTAAGGGACATGCAAATTAATGTTAGAATTTAATGTACTGGTTGACTTCCTTTTAAAAGTATTATTATGTTATTCTTCTGTCAGTTGCTTGAGATGTGTTCATATGTAGTTTTGATTCTTGTTAGAAAGGCTCTTAGGTCTACCAGAAATATACCCAGACATCTATTAGTAACATCTGCCACCTACATCTTTCCTTCTGCCCCACCAAACACATTATTTAAAAATAGGAAGGGTATAACGTTTATTTTACACAGGCTAAGGAGACAGGAAAGTTATTTCTCACTTTCCACATTATATATATTTGAAAATATGCACAAATTGTAAAGATTTATTTTTGCCTTCTAGGAAAAAATCGTTTGAAATCCCCGTCCCCAAAACACATGAACTTTAAATTCCATTTAAACTGAAATTCTTAAATTGGATATCACTACACTAAGAGTCTGAAATAAAATATATTTATTAGGAACTCAGCTTACATCATCAGTGTCTTTAACTCGAAGAATCTGCTCTCTCAGATCTTGTAGATCATTAAATGTGGACTGTGCTGTGATGGAATAAACTAATGCAAAGCCTTGTCCATTTTTCATGTATAAATCTCTCATTGCAGTAAATTGTTCCTATAGTAGAAAGAAAGCATCATTAAAAAACAATAAAGTTCTGACAGTTAATTTGACAATTTTTAAGTTTATAATTAGAGCTCAGTGAATACAGAAGTGTTATGTAACATTTCTTAAAATTATAGTCTGTGGCAAGATGTGATTTGAAAAACTATTTCATGAAACAAGTTTTTATTTAACAATGATACAACCAAAGCAGATTTATGTGCAATAAATATACTTAACTGGGAAACAAATATCCTTTCCCCAAAAGCTATTTAAAAGATAGCTTTTTAATATATAATATGTAAGGTACCAAAACTGAATTCCCAAGTTACTCACAGCTAGTTCACAATACTCTAGCTCTATAGGGCTTACCAGCACGCTTACCTATACCTTACCATTTCCTCACACTTTTCCTCCTTCACTAGACTGTGAACCTTTACAAGTAAGAATATTGTCCATGGCACGTATCAGGTACTCAAACATGAATGAATACCATATATCCAGAATAAATCTTCCCTTCACCTTCAGATACCAACAAATCTAGTTGGTTTATAAATACTCTGAAGAAAAGATACTGTTCAAGTTACTCCACAAAGCCACTGAGAAATAAATGTTTACTGAAGTATTTTCCACATTAACTAAAATACGTAATATATTTTTTAAAGTACTATGAGACTGAAATTTTAATTCAAACAAATTTCCCCCCCCCCTTTCTTTGAAGATTTTATTTGAGACAGACAGAGCATAAGTAGGGAGAACAGCAGGCAGAGGCAAAGGGAGCAGCAGCAGACTCCCCACTGAGCAGGAAGCCTGAAGACGGGGCTCAATCCCAGGACCCTGGGACCATGACCTGAGCTGAAGGCAGCTGTTTAATCAACTGAGCCACCCAAGCACCTCTCATTCAAACAAATTTCTATTTATTTCTTCAGTAAATGGCCCACTGCAATTACAAAGCACACACACACAGAACTTAAGAGAATAAGAAAAATAGCTGTAAGATTTAATGCAAGTTGTAGGCTTTTAAATAAGTTTAATGAGCATTTGTCTATAGAGTATTAGCATTTACAAGGTCAATACCACAGAAGTTGTGCACATACTTTGATACTTGTTTTACATACCGTTCCTGCAGTATCCAAGATTTCAAGCATACACTGCTGTGCATCTACTTCAACTTGCTGGAGGAAAAATTAAAATATACCGTCATTCTTTAATGTGTAAAAGAGTACCTTATTATATATAAAAACTAGTATGATATTTAAATAGTGAGATTACTGTAACTTTACAACTAGTTTTATGCAATACCTGAATAGAACAGGAGAAAAAATAGCTATATAATCAAGGTCCACTGACCCCCAAATTGTATTAGGTGCAAAAACCATGTGTTCTCAACATAAGGATACCTCTAAGATCCAGGCTCTGTGTGAATCACTCAAAACTTAATTCTGGGGAGGAAATGATTTCAAAATAGCTCAAAATTCTTTAAAACCAGTACTAGTTTCCATAAGATCAAAAGTCATTCTGTGTATCTCAACACTGCCACGCCTTATTTAGATATACCTTCATTTCTCTAGATAACTACAATCCCCTTCACCGTATTGGAACAACGTTTCTGGTAGCAAAGAAGCAAAAGACACCCAGCAAATACGTTATGTATCCTAGTGACCCCTTTGCACCTAACATTTCCTTGGAAAATAAGTTATTTAGAATTAGATTCGGAAAGAAAAAAGTAATACTGCCTCAAGGCTTTCCAGTTTCTCTGGTAGACTGCGGACACAAAGGGAAGAATACAAACAGTATCTACATAGCAGCAGGGGTCAAACAGGCTGTTACATAAAGGTGGGGAGATAACTCTCCCCCTAAATTAAAAATGTCTGCATATTAAGTTTTATTGTCACATGTTGTGTTTGTGGACATAGAAACAACTCTATTATGAGCAGTGATACTTTAAAAAGAGGGGAGCCTGACAGTGTTCAGTTTTTGGTGGTCTTTAGGGTGGAGGGACACAACTATCACTTGAAATGGATAGCCCAATTCTAAAGTTTGTGTGTCAAATTACAATTTTAGGGTCGGGATAAACTTAAAATTCTCTGAGGAGGGCAGGGAGAGAAAGAGAAAGAACACATACGAGCAAGTGCTTTACGATTTTCATTAACTGGTACAGAAACAAGACCAGGAAATAATCAAGTGTTTTTTCCTACTAATTTTTAAATAAACTCTTGTTTCTTCCTCCAACTTTGTAAACAACATTCAGCAATTACAAAGCTAAAACTAAGAACTTATATTTATAGTAAAGTCAAAAGCAAAAGTCTTCTAGAGTAAGTAACATATACCTTTCTATAAGAATCTTCTATCGTAGGATCATATTTTTCAACAAAAATTCCTTGAACAAACTGTACAGTCTGGAAAAAAAAAGTATACCATTTACACTTAAAGAAAACAAGAAATTCAAATCTGTATGCTTTGCACTATTGATTTCACATAGCCAGTTATACCATTGATGAAAATATAACCACTACTACATTTAATGTATGCATTTGGTGAGTAAATTACCTTAGAAAGCTTTTTAAAAACATTAATAATCACTATCCTCCCTATTAGGTAATTCTAACTTTGGAGCTCATATATTTAAAATTTATTTATTTTATTTTTAGAGAGGAAAAAATGGGGGGAGGGGCTTTAGGAGAAGGAGAGAGAGAATCTAAAGCAGGCTTCATGCCCGGTGTGGAGTTATCTGAAGACCCAGAGCTGAAATCAACAGTCCAACGTTTAACCTTCACCTACTGAGCCATCCAGAGGTCCCATATTTAAGCAAAATTTTAAGTGTCTTCTATTTCAGTCTTAACAGCTTAAATTTGAATTTTAATTAGAAACAGGCTATTTGTTTCGCGTACATAAGTACATACCTTCAAGACACCTCATCATTTTGGATATATTTACAAATGACAAAGCAGCTCATGCCCCACTGCACACATTTCTCAGTCTGATTCAAACTTCAAGTTCTGTGCTAGGTGGCTGAGTGAGATGGTCAATCTGTTTTACACTGGGGCTTTATTAAACTGAACTACTCATCAAGTCATTTTCCTTAAGTTTCTTTTCTTCCCCAGCCACTACTGTCAAACTGTCATTTTTCCTCACTATATTATTATTTTTAAAGTATTTTATTTTTAAGTAATGTCTACACCCAACATGAGGATTGAACTCACAACCCCAAGATCAAGAGATACATGCTCTTTCCACTGAGCCAGCTGGTTCCCAATTGCTACACTATTTTCCCCCCCCACTACACTATTCTTGATACAGAAAGCATGGCTGCTAAAATAATGTGAAAACTGGACAGTCATGGGTTGTACTGGAAAAAGGTTTTTTAAAAGCTTTATTTAATATTTTCAGAAAATACATATAAGCCAAGTCACAATAAGAAAGACCAAAATTCATTCCTACCTGGCTCAGAAATACAGATGGACACACATTTATATGCTCCCACTCTCTATGCTTAGCCCAAATTGTATTCTGGCATATCTCATGCTGGTCTGGAACCAACAGACCAGAAACAACATGATCTACACAGGTCCGACTAGAAGTGGACTAAAATTACAAGGAAAATACATTGCCTCTAAAATCACTGAGATTTCACTTTAACAAATAAATGAAGACAAATAGTCAAAACCTAAAACTCAACAGAAAAAGAACATGTGTTGCAATGAATAGCTTAGGTACGGTGATAATGACTTACCAGAGCAGATTTTCCAACGCCTCCTGAGCCAAGAACGACTAGCTTATACTCACGCATGGTGCAAACTTGTCAAAAGCTAGTACCTTATAAGGAAAAAAAAAAGAGAGAGAGAGAATTCTTAGGTAATATATCTTGGTATTCATGTGCTTCTTATATAAATTAGATATTCAACCAAATAGTTTAAAAAAATGATTACTCTACCATACCAATATACGCATTCGATAAACAGACTTACTAAAAGGATGCTACTGGTAGGGTTCTTTACACCACATCAGAGGTAGAAAGAAACCACAGAATTACTGACATGACTTTCAGCCCTAACCTAAATTCAAACAGAATAAAGTATCTGCTCTATTAAAAAAAAAAAGGGAGGGGGCTGAAAAACAGCACGAAGGGGTATATTACTGGTTATAAGATGGCAGTAACAGGCATGTTTAACTCCCTTTCCTGAACTATCTGTAACTTTGAGTCACAAGTAGTTGAGCGCCTACTAAGTGTGGGGATATATACAGTCAATGAACAAAAAATTCCTGTCTTCACTAAGCAATATTCCAGTAAAGATAAACAGGATAAAACAAAGGTATGCAAACAAATCCAGTCAATCACCTCTTTCTGTACATAAAGTTCTGTTGAAATACAGCCATGTCCATTTATTTGTGTAGAATCTGTGGTTGCTATCTTGCTGTAATGGCAGAATTTAGTAGTTATAATATAGGCCATCTGGTCCACAAAGCCTAAAATATTTACTATCTGGCATTTACAGAGAAAATTTGCCAACCCCTGGGATACATGAATGGTAAATGAGTTAGCCGAGAAAATGGACCAAATATCTATTCCTGAAGTGGGGGAGGTACAAAGAGTCTGAAAATGGTTAGAAATCAGAGACAGAACTGAAGAGTATGAGCCCCAGACTGAAAAACGATGGCTTTCAGGAAGATGAAATAGTGGAAATCAAAACAAAACCAAAAAGAAAAAACCCATACCAAGGCTTATTACCATCAAATTTCAGTACACGAAAGATAGAGAAAGAAGATCCTAAAAGTTTCATGGCTAGGGAAATAATAACAAAGCTCTTACCATCCTAGAAAGAAAGAACTGGTCAATGGCCATGGGACAAAAGCAGCCACCAGAACAGGTTCTAAATCTACTTAATCAAGAAATGACAGTTCTGTAGTCATAGTAACAAGTAACAACCATAAACAGAGCCCTCATTAAGATTCTTTTTTAAGATTTTATTTTTTAGTAATCTCTATACACAACACAGGGCTCAAAGTTACAACTCCTGAGATCAAGAGTTGCACACACTGAAGCTTACACCAACCAGGTACCCCACACTTCATTAAGATTTAAAACCCTTCTACCACCCAGAAAGTTCCCAATGTGCCTCTTCCCAGTTAATTAACCTGACACCCCTTTTCTTGACTCTAGTGGCTGCTTTATTTGTCAAAGCCACAACCTTTTCTAGGAAGAACTTCATGTGTTTTTTTTTTTTTATAAGCTCCCAATATAACCTTGACTTTTGTACTTACATCGGCAAATGACAAAAACTGTGATATTGACAAGTGTGACTTAACCAGACTTATGACCAACTTCTGAAATGCCAAAATTAGTAGCTTAAGAGGAACTGCAACTACAGAAAAAATTATGAGACAAAATAACAATCAACAGTCAACTTCTTTAATTGATATTCCGAGGCCTCAAAATAAAATGACTAAGATAGTCTTTCTTTACTTCCCCCTGCTCAAACCTCTGGAAGCCTACTCTCCTTGAATTATTCTGTCTCTAAACTACCCACACAATCCTATTCCTTTTGTTCTTTCCCCTTACCTCTGAAATGAACTACTTTTCTTAAAGGTTTCTCAGCAAAGGAACAATTATATTAGCCTCTTTAAAAGGCAGAATTATAGAAACAGAGTTTAGACATGAGTCTAGATTAAATTGAATTTATAGTGAGGATTTTCTTCAATTTCAGGGAGACTGACAAATTTGTTTCAGAATTTCAACTTAATCACAAATTACTTAATTTCCTCTTTATAAAGAAAAATGGTTAAAAGCAGAATAGGAAAGACCAGACTCAAACAGCCCAGCATATTTTTAAAAATTGGTCTTGAGAGACCAAGAATCTATTTAGGAACTACACTATTTTAGAAGTCTTTCTTAAAGGTAGATTGGTCAAGATTTAAAATTGTAAGCAAAATAAAAATGACTTGATATGAAACAAAATAAAAATAGATGTCAGGAAACTGTAAAATATATTTTGTGGTAGACCCAATAGCTGAGGTAAAGAAAGACATGTTTGTTCTTTATGTTAACTGGGCTCAGACCTGAATGGGAAACTTGAAATAAAAAATACTAGCAATTTAGGGGTGCGTGGGTGGCTCAGTGGGTTAAAGCCTCTGCCTTTGGCTCAGGTCATGGTCCCAGGATCCTGGGATCAAGCCCCACACCGGGCTCTCTGCTCAGCGGGGAGCCTGCTTTCCCGACCCCCCCAACACCCCCCCGCCTACTTGTGATCTCTGTATGTCAAATAAATAATAAATAAAATCTTTAAAAAAAAACCCAAAACAAAAACAAAACTAGCAATTTAGAAATCTACAATGGGTGAGATTTTTAAAAGACCCTTACAAAGTGAAAAAGCTAGAAAGAACAACAAAACGTCTTTATATTCTAAGAAATGGGAGCCTATGAGTGAGGACACATTTTATATAATGCAAAGAGAAGAGCCACAGGAAGGATCAATGTTCCATGTTTACTAAGCAAGAGGAGTACAATGATTCAAAATCTGTCCCATAATGCTGCTCCAAGGAAAACTTGAGCACCCAACAATTCCTGCCCTTTCTCCACTGGAGGTAGACGTGGACTAACTACATAGAGTCACAAGTGAATTTTTTTGGGTGATGGAAGTGTTCTAACACTGGTTGTAGTGACGACACACAACTGTATAAAGTTACTAAAATCCCAAAATGAAAACAATAACACAAATGATTAACATAAAAATTACCATTTAAAAATATACTGTAAAAACTAAACATTTACGGGATTGCATTTCTTAGTGAGATCACTGAGACCTGTTTCCCCAATTGCTTCATTTATCTATAGTAAATATTACCTGTTGCTAGAATTAGAATCAGGTTCATCCACATTATTGCTTCCATCAATAATCTGTTCCTTCTATTTCTTATGATAAAAAAAATATATATATCCAAAGAAAATACCCATTGTATGGCTACATGACATTTTCTTTACCCATTCATCAGGTGATGAACATGTGGATTATTTCTGGCTTGTGGATATTATAAATAATACTTATTGCGGGACCTGGGTGGCTTAGTCAGTTGAGCATCTGACACTTGATTTCAGTTCAGGGCATTTTGTGTCAGGGGAGGTAGCCCTGAGACTGAGCCCTGTTTTGAGTTCTGCGCTCAGTGGGAAGGCTGCTTGGGATTCTCTATCTCCCGCTTCCCCATCTATCCTTCTCCCCACCTCTCTAAAATAAAAAAAGTAGTGCTTGTCTGTTTGTTTTGATTTTAGTAATTAAAACAATAACTTTTATTACAGAGAGCCCTATGGTCATAGGAAATTTAGAACTGAAATTTTAAAATTTTGGTAGAGAAATATGATAAAGTTGTTAATAAACTTTCAAATCCAAAAGTGGTGGGAAAATACATGTAACTTGCCAATAAGAAATTTTGTAACAAGCAATACTGGGGTAAGGAAATTCAACTGAGCAAAGTCACTCAATTTTTATCAGTATTTCCTTACATGTCTAAAAAACTAAAATATTTTTATCTAAATCCTGGTAAGTAACAAGGCTAAGGGTATTTTTTTCCTTAAAACAAAACAAAACAAACAGCAGTATGATAGCTAAGATTTGGACTAAAATCTGCTTTTCAAATAGGTGCCTTCTACTACCATCAGCTTTAAATTGTTTACAGATTCTATGATCGAAATAATGTATTTCAATTTCAGTGACTGACTAGGAATGGCCATTATTTCTGTTTTTAAAAGGACTCTGTGGTTGTATCTAGTTTTCGCAGAAAAGATAACCCTGTTCAGTAATGTAATGTCTGTCATTAGGGAAAAGGTGCTGGCATCTACGTATTTGTGAGCTGTGGGCAGGACCTTCCTGCTCAAGTGCTCTTTAATGCCCACGAATGAGCACTTGAGAGTCTGAATTTCTAAAATTTCAGGCACAAATTTGATGGGGAGAGTTACATCAGAATTTCAAAGGGATTGTGATAACTGTTGTTTGAGACACTGAGAAAACTGTTCTCTTTCACAGAATCCTAAGAGGGACAACTGACAGCACAGCATAGTGGTTCACAGCACCCAAGTTTCAAATCCTAGCTTTGTATAACCCTGGGCAAGTCATGAAACCATTAAAAGCTTCACCTTCTTTATAGGGAAAATGGAAACAATAATATCTACATGATAAAGTTGTGAGGCAGATACACAAGAAAGTAAACTCCAGGAAAAGTAGGGAGTTTTGTTTGTTTTATTTCCTAGAACATGAACCAGTGCCTGGGGCACACAGTTCATGCTCAATAAATTAAGGAATGAAATGCAGTAATTTTAAGAGTCATTGGTGCCTTGCACATAGTAACAATCAAAAGAGAGCTTTTTAAATAATAATAGGACCAGTGGTCTGAGGTACTGCTCCAGCAGCCACAACTGAGAATCGCTGCTCTACTCTTATATATCCACTAGCTCAATAAAACATGTAAGAAAGAAAACAAATAGGAGACTGCAGTCCAGCTTTTGTCTGAGGAAGTATCTTCTAGGTAGGCAGAGACAGAATATACAGGCTAAAACTATTTTCCAACCGTATTTAGTCGTCCTGTCACTATAACCAGTTTGGATCAACTGAACTATATTATAATTCTTTAGCTGTAGACTCTATAAAAGTTTACTACCATATTCTACTAAATCTAAGAGGCACTTAAAAAAAGACATTTTAGGGGTTCCTGGATGGCTCAGCTGGTTGTCTGCCTTTGGCTCAGGTCATGATTGCAGGGTCCTGGGATTGAGCCCTGTATCAGGCTCCCCTGCCCTTTGTGTACATACTCTCTCTTTCTCCGTCAAATAAATAAACAAAACCTTTAAAAGAATACATTTTAACATCTCTGCAACTAGAATGTGTTACAACCTCCCTCCCATGTCAATACAAAAGGAAAAAGCTAAGTACATATCAGTATTCTGAATCATTTAAAGATGTAGTTCAGGGAGAAAGACTGGGAAATAATCCTCTTGCAAGTCTTTAAAAAACAGATTATTTCACAAAAAATTCTGTAATATTGGTGTTATCTCTGATCCTTAATATTAATTACACAAGTCAATTAACTTTACTATACCTCAAGTTTTGCAGACTGTAATTTTGACAGCCTAGGGAGAATCTCAGCACACTTTAGGAACAGTGAGAAAAATCCTGAGATTGTAATATAAAATGAATTTTAATTCCCTTGAATGTGTAAAACAGATATGTGATAATGTGGGGGATCATTTTTCTTCTACTTTTATTTTTTTTTTCTGAGAGTTTTATTACTAATGAACAATTTATAAAATATACAAATGAAACCGAAAGTAAAAGAGGAGTTGTGGAGTTGTCTTGTAATTAGCTCATGTTATTATCATCTATGAATGCTGATAATCATTAGCATTTTAATTTTTATTTTTTTAAATATTTTATTCATTTATTTGACAGAGAGACAAGCAAGAGAAGTTACACAGGGGAGTGAGAGGGAGAAACAGACTTCCCACTGAGCAGGGAGCCTGATGTGGGGGGTCCAACTCCAGGACCCTGGGATCATGACCCGAGCTGAAGGTGGATACTTAATGACTGAGCCACCCAGGTGCCCCAATCATTTTTATACAGTGGTCATTAGTAATGCAAAAAACACCAAGTTTAGCCAGTCATTCAACTCACAATGAGTAGTAATTATAATACTTATGCCGGCAGAGAGAAGTATCTTTCAGATAAATATACTATTGGTGACAGTGCATGTTTAAATAAA